TTATGTCTATTTTCCAGATGGAAGATGTAGAGCTACATGAGGATTCACTATCTTCCTCAGGCCACAGTAGCAACACACTGCAGAACACGTCTACAGAGGCAATCTGACAGCAAAGCCTCCATTCTTCCCTCAGATGACACCTCCAGGAAGGAGGACTCTCTTTGTTTTCATCTTTCCAAATTCACTTGCTTTACTAAATTCAATAAAAAAATCCCCTCATACACCTTCTCTAACCCTTCTGACCAGCAATTCTTTCTTCCTTAAGACCTTAAGAGCAAAACGCTTATAAATCCCTTATCCAAGAGAATGGATGGATGGGAATGTTGAGCAACACTTTGCCAGCTGTTACCATATTTCTTCACTTGCCGTTTTATCTCCATATTTCAGTTACATGCTTTTGGCAGGCAGGGATTAACGCGGCACCCAGTGTTGGGGATAACTTGCCAATAACGATTTCTTAAACTGAATTGAGCTGTCTTTAATTTTTGTTAGGTGCTTCAGGGCTTTTATATTAGCCCGTCATACATTTTGTCATTAAAAGTGCATTGACAAATTCAAACTTTCTGGATCTTTCCTGTTATACATTGTAATTTAAATTAGCTATTTAGAGAAACTTATAATAGAATTTTTGGAAGAAATGAAGTTTTTCCTCTAAAAACTGCAGCTCAGCCTCACAGATATTCATGTCTTCTCTTGTGACTTTCTTACCTGCAACATCACAGCTTCCTTGTTTTGTGACTCCATGAGGAACGACAGAACACGTTGATTATAGTTCTGGTTTTGGTTGATTTGAAGAGAGACAGTAGTAATCTAATTTTTTTAATTAACTTTAATTAATTTAATTTAATCTGGTGGTAGTCTAATTTTTTTAAAGAGCAATCCATCTTAATTGGTTATCTGTATTCATCTTTTGCAAACCATGTCACTAATATATTTTTCATTATGTGGATTTTTCCTTAGTAGAATTCAGTTGTATTAAAATTTTGAACTAAAAAATGACAAATTATCCAAGTTATAGTATTAATTTCCTCTTCTGAACTTGCTACATCATTAAACAATGAGAAATAACTTTTAGTAAAACAGCAAGATATATACTTGCCTCAGTAAATAGTCATTCAGATTATGCCAGTGTTAACATTGTACTTTACACTTCACTCAAAACTTTCATTTGTGACTTGAGTATGAAAATTATTGTTACCTAGAAACTAGGCTTATTATAAAACTGCTACCAAACTAATAATTATGCACTCATATATTTTACATATAGTGTACATGGTATGATTATTCAGTGTGCTCCTAGGGAGAATATGCAGTCATGATTCTAGTTATGAGTGCAGTTGAAGCATCTCTGGTTTCTATTTATGGTCCAATTTTCAGACTTAGCCTCTTGTCAAGACTGTCACATGTCACACAATATCAGACAGAGTTGCAAATTAACTTTATATATGATCTACCACTGGACTTTTAAGAATAGATTCTTATAAGTAGTTTATGACAAATTGTAAAGCTCATTTGGATTATTTCCCCAATTAGCTGGCTTGGGCAATTTGCCTTTTTATAAAAATAATTTTATCATCCATTTCTTCCAGTGTAAGAAAAAAATTTAACTACTTAGCTATTTTTGAGGATAGGAATTGAAGGTACTCCACATCTGGGTAATCCCACCTCAAAAATAATTATATTAAATTATAGAATGAAACAAAATAAATTTTTATTGATACAGAAACTGTAAAATTATCAACCTATTGCAATGATCCTGTGTTCTTTGATTAAAGGTGTATACACAGGAATATAATATTTGTACATGAGGTGAGATTATACTTGATGAAAAAAAAAACCCTCTCACATATCAAAAGAGATATCCAAGATAACTGTCCAAAAAAATCCCACTGGATTTTAGTTCTTCACTGCCTATGACACAAAAACAGCTTGATACACAAAGATACTGAGGGGTTCTACAGAAAGGCAAGAATGAACACAGTACAATTTATTTTTTCACAGGAGAGAGTAGAGACAAACAGGTAGACCAGGTAGATGCTGTAGAGGTACAACCAATATTAGAAAATGTTAATAAAAATGCCTTAATCAGAATCAATGACACACATGAAATAAAGATGCAAGGAATATAGTTGAAAATATTAGTTAAGCATACCTGTAAAAAGGTTAAATGTCAATATAAAAAACAAAAACTTTCAAATTGTTCCCCCAAACCAAACTCAAAAAAATTTTGTTTTCAGGAAACACACAGAAATAATGAGACAAAATTATATAATTTGAAATATATTCCCTCCAAATTAGTCCAGCTCCCAGTGACTGTGAAGGTGACCTTATTGAGAAATAAATCTTTGCAGGTATATTCAAAATCAGGTCATTAGGGGGAGCCCTAATGTGACAGAACTAGTGTCCTTGCAAGGAGAAGAGACATAGACACCAAAATGAAAAAGAGCATCATGTGACCATGGCGGCAGAGAACATCTCCTCAAGCCAAGCAATCTAATGACTGCAAGCCTCGAAGTTTCTGTTATTTTAAGCTACTCAATATAGGATAGTTTTTTATATCATCCCTAGGAAAGTAATACAGAAAAAAGGTTGAAAAGAAATGGATGTGTAGAGGAAATCTGTACCAAAACAGAGCCGTATGGCAAAGATCAAACTATCAAAGTAAAATTGAAGGTGAAAAATAGTAAATGGGGTACTATATAAGTGAAAATTTACAATTCTCCAATAAGTTATAGAGGGGCAATTGAAAAATATGAGGAATAAATGAGTTAACATGTAAAGTACTTGAAACAATATCTGTCATAAAGACTGCAGGGCATAAGCTATCATTTTTCTTCACTTTATTAGTATAAGCCATAGTATAAAAACAGACCAAGGAGTGGCCAGGTGTAAAACATCACTTCAAGAAGACACAACTTCATATAGTCTGTATCACATTGCAAGATTTCAGTTTCAGAATTTGACATATAAATCTACCACCCAAAAAGCAATCCTAAAGAGGATTTGGATAATACAATCAACAAACTAACACTATACACAGTTCTGTACTAAAAGCAGAAAATATATTCTGCTTGTATGTCCATTCAGAAATTCTGGTTATTACAGAATCAAAAGAAATTCTTACCAAGATCCTCAAAGGGGATTTCAGAGTTCTTAATCTCTCTTAATGATATAAATAGAAATCAAAAATTAAAAGAGCAAAAACCAGTTTAACCATTTGAATACTGAGATATCTATTTAAAAATAACCAGCTGCTGTTCTTTTACAGCATCTGAATGCATGAGTCCCATGTGGTTCCACCTGCCAGGAATGGCTACAAGGAATGCTCAATTTTCTAAGTCAGTGGCTCTACTGCCATATCTTTAGGGAACATTTAGAAATATATTAGCAGGTTTATAGTTACAAACACCAAGAATTCTCCAGGTACTTAGGGGTCAGGGAAATTAAATGCTCTACAAAGCTAAGGACCCTCTTATGCAATGTAAAGCTACCCTGGACAAAATACCAATAATGCTTCCATTGATAAACACTGCTTTAAAACTGACCATGGGGCAAAGATGCACAATGCTTCAGGTAATTCTGTTTGAAATTAAGTTAATACCACTAATGGTAAAAAGGGTTTCTATAAATCTAGCAGACAATTCAGTGTTAAATTTTCCACAGTAAGAATCAAGTTCAAGAACTTTCCCTGCTCTTAATAATCTGAAAGTATATTAGAATATTTAGCGACTGAAGCAGAAACTAATTTTCTCTTATTACTGAGATTGAAAAAGGAATTCATCATTATCTATCTCCAGGAAAGATTAGATAAATAAGTACACAGAGAAATGAATATTTAGTTTGCTGTTGAGGTTATATTAGCTAAATCAAATTCTCAGCACACAAAACTTTAGTTTCTAGAAGCACCAGTACTTTATTGTCTCCTAAATATTTTTTGGTCCAGTCTTATGTAAAATGAAATATTTTGATAATGATTACTTGACGATGTTGTAGAAAAAATTACTGATAACAGGTAGAGAACTAAGAGACATGTTTTCTAGCTCTGACTTTACCATTGACTAGCTCCACGACCTTCTGTGTTTGCTCAGGAATAAAAGGGTAGTAAAATTATGCACTGTACTTCTCTTTTACTCTCTTTAAAATAAAAAAAATAGATAAATAAAAACAACAACAGCAAAAAGGGGTTGGAACGTAGAATACCTATAACCTTCCCACACTGCCTCCCAAGCCACCTTGGACCTTGCCCTCTTATCTCTCCAGCCACACTTCCACTTCCTCTTTCTGCTGCAGTCCCAGGGGACCTTTTGTTCCTTCACTTAAGGTATCTGCACTGGCCACTCCTGCTGACCAGAACACTCTGTCCTGTAGTTTTAGAATTGCCCTCCTGCTTCCTTGATTGCTTTGGGTTTCCTGTCAGATGTCACCTACAACAGAAATACAGCACTACGGCTTCCTTGTCTTCATTTTCTTTTACATATCGATAATGCATTGGCTAATTGTCTATTTCTGCTCTGCTAGAATACAATCTCTCAAGGAATTCAGGAAATTATATTTTCTTTTTAAGGATGATATTCTAATAACAAATTAAGAGTTTTTCCAAATCAGTTCTGATCTAATTTGCCTATTTTTATTATCCCAAAGCTCAAAACAAACTAATGTTTCTCTGAAAAGACAATATACGCACATCTTTTTCAAGTGAAATTGTTTCCTCATTAAAAGCAACATGCTTTCTTTTGGCTTTAATATATCACAAGCTAAGTAGGCAGAGAGCACAATATTATTTGTTGTGAAAAATATTTTTGAAATCTGTTCTGGGATCTTGTCAGTCATGTCTGTGTGTGTGTAATCTACTGCACTGCAGTGAGGTAGGAAGCAGAGATACTTTTATATCCTTTTTATGTTTCTCTAATAATTATCTGGTTAATTTGTCGACTGTAGGCTCTCATGCAATCATAGTTATTGTTATTTTTGTTTAAAGGGAAAGAAACGACATTACTTACATTTAGAGCCTGATGAAGACGACCCACTGACAGATCTTGATCCGCCTTTCATGGAAAAGACTCCTTTTCCCCTGCGGGTCGTTGTGACAGCCACCCGGGGACGCTTCAGGGGGATGACCGCACGGGGAGGTGGAGGTACGCGCCCATGGTAATCAAACAACCTTCACGAAATACAAAGGGAGAGTTGGTTTGACACCTAAATAGTCTGTCAAATGTGTGAAATAAGTAAGAGAATGGCCTGGTAAAATGTTACAATAAATATGCTTCTGCAGTTGTTTGATAGAAAGTGTTTATTTTGGCAGATTTATTCTCACTAAAGAAATAGATGCAAATGTAGTCTATGCTTTTTGCACATAGAATATGATTCTCACTATGAACTCATTTGTAAGGTAGGAAAGGACAAGGAGCTTGGCTCCAATAGCACCGTGTAATTTACTGAAATTATGCTGACCTTTGTCCCGAAATATATTCCTTTGCTTGGGTAAACAGGTTTACCCTTCTTAGGAATAGAACATTTCCTTTTATATATCAAACTTTAGAACACTAAGTTTTCAAAGAGATAATGCAGAGCCAGAGACACAATAAAGAAAATGATTCTCTAATCAGAAAGAGGAGCTTGCAGGGAGGACAAACAATCAAAAAACCAAACAAGAAGGAAATTAGTTTGAAGAAAATAACTCTGAGAGGCAAACCAATATGGTGCCCCACCTCTAAGGACATTTAAAGTAATCAAAGCCTCTTCTGACTGTAGAAAAAAGAAATAGGATTTGAATAAAGTGGCACTAGCAGGAGGATAAATTTTTGTTGACTATAGCTTGGTGGGAAATATTTATCTGGAAATATTTGATTTTTCTGACCATTTTCCATCTGTTCAAATGAAGAATAGAGATAATGATAGTGTTAGCTGTGGAAATGTTTTTAACCAAAGAGAATATCGATAAATTTACTTTTGCTAAAGAGTGGGGAAAATGATATGCATTACAAGCAATGCATTTCCATTAAAGAATGCAACTGTAAGATTATTGATTCAGTTTTAAAAATAGGTAATTCAAAAATTCAAAATCTAGGGGCTGGAGATTTAGCTCAGCAGCAAAGCGCCTGCCTGGCAAGCACAAGGTCGTGAGTTCGGTTCCCGGTACCAGAGAAAAACCAAAAAAAAATTCAAAATCTTTATATTATTTACACTGAATATCATATGGAACAGATTTTTACATGATAGTATATTTAAGAATCATAATAGGTCAGAGAAAAAAAATCCTGGTATACATTTTATCATTTATTTAAAAAAAACTGCATGACAGTGAACAAATGTGTAATTATTATCCACTATGAATAAAATAGCATTACTTCAAATAAAATAATTCAATATGAAAGTCAAAACTGAAAAAACTAGAAGAGAAAGAAAATAATCTCAAAATTCTCTAAGAGATTATTTTATAAAAAGGTACTTCACTTGTGCCTTGGAAAATGTGATCATCTCTTTTTAGAAAACAACCCAAAATATAATACAAGTTAAGATAGACTGGTTTTCCAGTATTCAAAAACATTTAAACCTATCGCACTACTGGGGGGGAGGAATATTTAAAACAAATTTAAAGCAGAACTCTTTAGTACTAGAAATATCTCTTACATTTGAGAGCTAAAGTGTCCAAAAATAATTTAGGAACCTGCTGGTGGGAAACTGGGAGATGTCTGGCGAGGAAAAGTAGCCAAATGAGACAAGTTCAAAAGAGGTGGCCTCCGCTGTGAATCAGCAAAGTGCATTAGACCCAAGAACTGCTAGAAAAGAGCAGGTCATGGGTGTCAACACATTATAGTTTACTTCAAAGAGTGCAGGCAGACAGAGGCTGAAAAGGGTTATGAATATTTTCCAGAACACCAGGGACTTGAAAATCAAAAGGGTCAAGGAAAACTGCCCCTCATTTCAATCACAGAACAAGGTCTACATTAGTTATTTATAAGTTGAATTCACAGAACTCTTTAAGTCAGTGAACCAAAATATGATGGCATTTTGCATCAGCTATGATACACAAAACTATTGAGGGGAAAAATATGGCAATTGACTCATCTCTCTCAGCCTAGAAGTTGTGCCTTCAGATGAAAGATAAGCTCTCTGGAGACCGTTTTCCTAGGCCATGCATATGCAACTTAACAAGTTCATTAAATAAACTAATTTATAAATTGAGTGAAGAAAATCTCTAAAGCACAATCAAAAATATATAAAGAATGCTATAATGGAAATGCAGACCAAATAAACCCACCATATTTATTGCTACTTCAATTAGAATGCACTTCAGTAAGATTTTTATAAGGGGCTGAAACGTCTGTCATTTCTATTGCATTCCTCAGTAGGGGATTCCTGTCAATATTTCTACTGCGTTCCCCAGCCTGAGATTCCAAAGTTTCCTGAACTAGCCTACCCTGGTCTTAGGTTGAGAAAACAGATTTGCACTTACTTATTGTATTTGTAACAATATTAGCAGTTGACATACATTTTAGTAACATATTTAGTATAAGTTTTGCCCTTTGGTGCAAATTCTCAGAGAGCAACCCTTGTCCTCTGAATATTTGGTGAGTTGCTTGAATGGGAGATGATTTTTCTCACTAAGGAATCAGTTAATATTTTAACAATTCCATTTGCCTCTCAGACAAGCAAGTAGGAAGCATCAGAATGTTAAATATTTTAATATGGGATGTGATTCACAAATCAAAACTGAGGAAAGGTATGGGGATTACATGTAAGAGTATATTTTTAAAATTTTAGAAGGTATTGTTTCTTTCAACATTTATTTGACTTAAATATTGTCTGAGATATATAATTTCATTATTTAGCAAAAGCTAAAAACCAGTAACATTAATTTTAATATTAATTTAATTGTTAAAAGATATAACATTGGTAGGAAATATAAGGATATCAGATTTCATACATGATCCTCAAAAATACGGACGTTTTGGCTAGATGTAGTGGTGCATGCCTGTAATCCCAGTATTTGGAGGCTGAAGCAGGAAGTGTCAAAAGTTCAGTGCCAGCATGGGCTACATTGTGAGTTTAAAACCAGCTTTGACTACATAGTGATACCTTATCTCAAAAAAAAATATGTTTTTTTTGGAAAGTCAACTTGCTTGCATATTAACATAGAAAATAAATACACTTTGAGTGTTTTTTAAATTAAAGAATTTACTACTACTAAATTCTAACAATACCAATGTTTCAGAAGAAATACATGAAATAAAAAACTTAGTCTTACTTTCTACAACAGCTATTATCATCCTCTAATCTTTCTATATGAATCCATATATTTCACATTATGGAACAATATATTCCTATGTTCTGGCCAATTACCTTTGGTTTATACTACAAATTGGGTTGAAATTTATGTCTTTTAACTGCAAATCACTGCCCTTGTGAACTGTATAATGCTGTTATTTCCAACTCAACATTTTTTTGGTCCTGGGGATTGAACTCAAGGGCACCCTACTACTGGGATACAGCTCAGTCCTCTCTCTTGTCAACCTTTTAAGAGGAATACCATTCTACTAGGTGATAATTTAAATTTGTATAATGAAACAGATATTGTGTCTTCTAATGTTTTCCAGTGTCATAAGTATATACTGTGCTCTATATAATTAATGATCTGAAAAAGACTGGTACTTAGAGATTTTCCATTAATTGCAATACTAATAGTTTTTCCCTATTTAGGTCAAATTTTTTCTAGAATTGAACAGTCCCTGTTTTGGATCACTTAAAATTTATATAAGCTTTCTATATGGTAAGACACTTCTGGTATTTCTTTTTATCTATTAAAAATTTACTCATCACCAGAAATTATAAACTCTTTAGTGCTTTTTCTGGTACTACTGAAAAAAGACGGGTTTAAATTGCTAGCATCTCAAAAATTGAAAATATTCTCTGTGGGTATTCAATATAATTTACTTCTATATCCTTTTACTTGGAAGCATCGAAACTATGCTTAGTTTTAATAACATGCAATGTGCTCTATCATACTTAAGTCTTTAAGAGAAAATACTATTGAAGGTTATAAATTGCTGGATAATTTTTCATAAGATATAGAAAGGTAAACATTTAGAATAATCACTGAAATATACATCGTAATATTTCACGAGGCCTGAAACCATGGATGGACACAAGAAACCATAGGATGGAACTTGATATAGAGAAGTTTTCTACGGTAAAACTATGGAAATGTTGAAAACTTTCAATCACATCAAAATCCTCAAAACTAGAGAAATAGGATGACAGTATGATGTGGTAGCAAGTCAGTGATTAAGATACTGTTTCAGGGGCTGGGGATATAGCTCAGCGGCATAAGCCCTTGCCTGGCAAGCGCAAGGTCGTGAGTTTGATCCCTGGTACTGCAAAAAAAAAAAAAAAAAAGATATTGTTTCTCAACTCATCCTTATCCCATGATGGGTTGGATGCTGCAGGGTGGGGACCTGGCTTCCTGCTCTGCTCACCCAATAAAGGACCAAAGAAGGGCACTGTAAGACTGGAGCAGGGAAAGGGCTTGCTTCTTTTTGTTTCAGCATTCTGCTCTTCTCAGCATTACCCAACCTCATGACTTCACCCTGGCAACAGTAGAATCTGCTTGGAGCAATTCTGTAACACTTGTAGAGCCTCTAAGACATCGGCAAGTGTAGCCTGTGTCCCCTCCTCAGAGGTCTGGGTGCCATGTCCACTCAGGAACAGCAGCCTCAGCCTGGCTCTACCTGCTATTGAAAATTTTAGCTCTGCAAAGCCCTTTTTGTACAGTATCTTAAAAATATCAAATTTCCATGTTTTCCAGGCTTTTCTGGAACTCCATGGCTCAAGCAACCCTCCTGCCTTATCATCTCCACTAAGGGGGACAACAGGTCACACAGCTGGTCTTGCAGTAAAATTTTACAATCCCAACCTCTTCCTGTTTCCCCAGCTCAAGAGATGTTAACTGTTTCTTGCAGTTGCTAATATCATAATAATGAGGTGACGTTTTCTCTTTGCCCTTTTCAGTTCCTTAATAAATAGTCAGTAATTTAATAATAGTTATTATAATAGTTGTTATGGTAACTAGTTATAATAATAGTTATTATAGTAACTAGTTAGTTATTATAATAACTAGTCATATACAATTGTCCTTGCTAAACATAACTCGTGTGATTTTTGTTTTCCTGACCTAACCAAAGCACATGGAGTTCACGGAAGTAGCTGACTGCTCTCTCTCTCTGTCTCTCTGTCTCTCTCTCTCTCTGCAGGTGTGTTCAGCTGCAGGTGAGATGAGTAGGTTAAGGGAAAACAATAAAAACAGGATGATGCAGAGGTGTCCTGAGGAATCAGTAGGGAAAGACTATTGACCAATCCACTTATTTCTCAGCCATATGGCTACGGCTATACGAATGCCAGTATGAGAAGCACATTCATCACACTGATAATGGCTGCCTGCTAATTGTTGCTGGTAACTGACATCAACTAAACACTAAAAATACATCAGGCATAATGCTGATCATTACACATATGTTACCTCATTTAATCCCAGCACAATTTTATGAGTTAGAAATCAATTTCGTGCTCACCTAACAGATGAGCTAACAGGTTCTGTAATATATAATTTGTCCAACTTTGCACAGCTATTAAAATAGATATTTAAAAACTTAACCATAAGTATAAGTCAAGTGTAATTCAGGAAGAATTACTGTGTAAAAGCTGTCCAGTGACTCTGTAGGCCACTTATCTTGTCCAGCCTTTTCACCCTGCTTTCCTTTCACGGTATTCTGTTCACAGGGAGCTGTGAGTATATCCACTAGTAAAAGATGCTTATGTCTTTCTTAGCCAAGCGAAATAAGAAAAATAAACTAATGAGAGCACAAACTGCTCAGATAGTCTACTAGCATCACAACCAAACTGATTTATTGCACACTTAGAAGCCAAACAGATTGTATATTAGACAAACACATGATTTTGAAAATTGTTCAGAGTCAGACTTCGTGTGCGTGTGTGTAATGTAGTCATCTGAAATCTTCAGGCTTTATAGTTACTGGATTGTTTAAGATCTTTGCACTTTGGAAAGTAAGATCTCTGTCTCTGTCTCTATCTGTCTGTCTCTCTTTTTCTCTCTCTCTTTACTGAGCTGTCATTTATGAACAGTAAAATGCACATGTAGCTTCTCTTTAAAGTGAGGAATCTGAAAACTTGAGTTGCCCAAATTTTCAAGAACTTGTTATCAGAATCTGAGTCTCCTTTCTACCGCAAAGCTTCATTTTAGGTAGAAATTCTTTAGATGTATAAGGAAGTTGCATGATAGAAAACAGAGAAGATGTTGAAACCATTTAACAGACTAGAAGACATGGTATGTCAACTGAAAACTTTATTTATAATAATTGGGACAACCTTCTGCATCCTGCAAAAGAAGAGGTATAGTTAAAAATGTCTTTAAAATTACCGAAAACTAAAATTATCAAGAAGTAAAAAGACGGTCTCCACACTATCTTTTAACAGTAAATGGGATGATTTTAATGTTGGCAGATGTTCAAATCACATAAACAAGTTATTATAAACCGTCAGATGTTTAAAATAAAGTCTTAAATCTTTAGACATTAGAAAATGATCATAGAAAATCATTCCTGACTATTACATTTGGTCTACAAGAATAACTAGTAAAATAAATTGCATAACCCAGTAGTTCAGATATATTAATATGTCTGACTCCATGCTAGCAAGGCTGTGTTCTTTTATTTCACACCATAAACTGACTTTGTTTCTCGGTTTTGCATATGCACATAGTGGGTTATTGAATGAATGCTCAGGTTATGACAACAGTTTAATCTCTAATTAGTGGGGTGACCCTGGGAAAAGTGATCATGTCTTTAAATTTAAAGGGATGAATTAGTAACATGAATTGAATAGACATTGTGAGCAAGGCTTATTGATAGTTCCTAAAGATAATAAAGATTTGCAAAAGTTTACATGTGCAGCCATCAAGGAGGACGGTAGGAGGACATGAATAAAGCACTGTCAGTGCAGAAAGGAAGTACACAAATCAGAAGTTCTGTGAGGAAATGTGCTGAGAGAGGGGACCCTAACTGAGCCTGGGAGTGGTGTCCAGAGAGACCTGAAGGACAAAGTGACAGAGGTCGGGGAAGGAATCTAAGGAGATGGAGCTGTGCAGGAAAAAGACCCGTGGGAGGAAGGAACCTGATATTCTTGTGGAACTGAGCAAGGACCAGGGCAGCTGGAGGAGACAGAATAAAACCCTTTGAGAGGCCCATGGATTTCTTTCCTCCTTAGCATATCCTTGATAACATTCTTTTGTAGATTTTCATTTTTATGCCTTGAGATTTTTTGTTTTAATAGTACTTATAAATGAAAAATTTAAAAATATTTACCACCTTTCCCCCCAATGGTCTGTTTATGCACAGTTAGTCCTCCAGTTGGATACCCCAGATGTATACGCACTTTAGTTATCACTCTTCGGTTAAATTATACCACTTCTCCAGTGACCAAAATTAAATTTGAGGTATCACAAATCGTAAGCTGTGGATAATATCATAGAGTCCAAACTTGTCACTGCCTTTCCGTCCACAAATGACTTTAATATAATAAACGTGCTCATGACTGGGGAGCAAGGGCATCACTCTCTCAAAGTCTTTCCGAGATGTGTGGCTGTTTTCCTGTTACTCACTAAACACCCAGGCAGCAGTGAGGCATTTGTAGTCTCCTTGTCACCTCATCATAAACTCATGTGCATTTTATAGAAATGGATAATCAAGAGAGACAACTGATCAATAAAGATGCGGTGCAGCAAAGAACTGAAGAGTGATAATGCTGGAAGTGAACTTCCAATTAAAAGTGCATGGATTATTTAAAAAAGTTCATCATCAGCATGCTGACACTTTCACTTGACAGATTCTAAATATCAAGCTAAAGAAAATCAATAAGGGTAAACTCACTTCCATGCACAAGGAAAGTGGATATAATGTACTGAAAGGGATGAGGTAATGAAGAGGAAGTGACACTGACCAGGAAATGTGCATGGAGCGAACTCATGCACACAGTTCACTGCATGAATAAAGTGCGGAGAGTGACCTAACCTTAGAAGGGAGTATAATTTACCAAAGTACAAACCAGTCACTTGTCCCATATTCTAAGTTACAGAGTGAAAGGAAGATACACATGGTTTGAGCTAATTTTGATAAATTATAATACAAACCAATATAACAAATTAATTCTCAATATTGGTATTGTTTTAACTTACAGTGTGCTAAAAATCTACTAGCTTTACTGTATGTACCTCAGTATTTATAGGCAGAGATTAAAAGTGCTTTAAAGGTTCTGCCAAAAATTTTAAAGGGAAAAATAGAAAAAGCTTATTTTTTTTCTGACTATTAACATTTTGATTCGTTTCAGCTTGTATGGTTGTTTTTATGGTCCCATATTATGGTCTGTAAATTTCACTGAATCTGATCAACATGACATTTTTCATGTGTTTTGAAAACAGATAAATTTTAGAAGATAGTAGTCATTTTCAAAGTTAATAAAACTATCAGTCTTGAGAATTCTGAATGTTTTAGTGGAACTTCATAATTTCTTTAATTTTTAACTATAAAATATTATTTGAAAAGTTTAAAGCAGAAAGTAGTCAAAATTTAAATCATAGGGAAACAAGGATGAAATTTTACATACCGATTGTAGAAATCATCTCTGTAGTAATCATAGTCAAAGACATAACCACTAAGGAGGGAAATAAAAAGAATTAGTTGGCAATTATATCAATCACATTACTTTTGGTATTGATTTATGATGTTATAGCAAGAAATTTATGTTACTTTTTATATACTTATTTTGAATGTAATTACCCCAAAACGGCTTTACAAGATCATATCTAACTTGATATAATGCCATATAAAATTATTATTGCATGTTCACAGTGGAGAAGCTATCAGCTCTCCATGGTTTATGTGCTTTGCAATGGACGATAAGAGCAAATAGCAAAAAAAAGACACTTTTAGTGCCTGTGACTCAAAATGAGGACTTTATGCCCCCTAGACAAGATATGACACAGTTGGCCATTCTTTCTAAGGTAAAAAGTTCTTTCCTTCTAAAGTGTGTACAGAGAGGCTAAATAATGAATAAAAATTATTAATATATATTTAAAATAACTCTAAAGGCTTAACATTCTATTTATTATAAGAATGGTAAACATAAATGCAAACTTCTGCGTTATTTTTCCATATATACCTTTAATTTCAATACTTTAAGAAAAATCTTTAAAAACAGCTGAGTCTTACCATAAATACCTTATATTTAAAGGTATTTAAATTGGAATTAATAAATGCATTTCAATGATAAAACTATTATGATTCCTCTCCCTGAAATAACATATGAAAAAAATTGCCTATACCCACTCGTATATTATTCAAATTTCTAAAGCACTTTATATATATTTTAAGCTTAGTCATTACAACAATTCCTGTACAATGTAGCTCTAAAAAACTGAGGTAAGGACTTCAGTGGCTTGCTTCAAGTTTTATCACTAGTAAATGACAGAGCTGAGATTAGAGAAAAAGTCTCCCAAATCCGTATCTGGAGCTGTTTCCACCATACTGGCCTTCCTTCTCAACCTGGAAAAAATCTAAGTCTTATGTCTAACAAAGTGTCTGTACTTCAGAGTGATAAGTATATTTAATGTTATTTATTCATTTTATTGTGGTAAAATATACACAGCATCAGGTTTGCCATTCTAACAATTTTCAAGTATAGACTGCAGTAGTGTTAAATATATTCTCAAAGTTGTATAAATATTAGCACCATGTATTTCAAGAACTCTTCCATCATCTGAAACAGAATCTTTGTAGGCATCAATAACTTCTCCTTTCCACCTCCTATCAGGCCGGTAGCCTCTGTTCTATTTTGCCTGTATGCATTTGTGTATTGCTAGTGCTTCACAAATCATGCAGTCATAACTACAAAGTCATATATTATGGAATATTTGTTCTTTTTTGCACTAAACCTAGTATTTTCTTTTTTCTTTTTTTTTTTTTTTTTGGTTTTTCTCTGGTACCGGGAACCGAACTCATGACCTTGCGCTTGCCAGGCAGGCGCTTTTGTCACTGAGCTAAATCCCCAGCCCCTAAACCTAGTATTTTCAAGGGTCAATCATTTTGTAGCATATGTCAGAATTTCATTCTGACTTAAGGTTGAGTAACCACTCTGTGATTATTCACTTCTACATTTGGCCTATTTCTACTTCTCGTCTATTGTGAATATGATGATCTGAACATTGGTAGGAAAGTATGTGAATCATTTCACTCACATATACACCTACCAGTGGAAGCATATAATGATTCCATGTTTAACTTTCTGAAGAATTATGCACCACACGAATAATTTTGTATTTCTAAAGCTATTTACCAGTCCCTTATTTGTAACCATTCTCATGCTAAGAAAACTGAAAGAGCTGTACTAGGAAGGGATTGTTGTTCTTGGTTTGAAGGATAAATGTATTTGTATTTCCTCATAGGCATTAGACAGAGGAAAATGACTGATGTGGCTTATCTAATCTATGAATGTTAGTTGTACCTCCAGCACTGTCTAATGGAATACATAATGTTTAAATACAAGTTATGAAATGTAAAGTAGGAGCCTGCTCCATGTGAGTGAATAGAAGACAGAGTATAATCTAGACAGTGCAATGTTATATCCACCTAGGCAAACTAAGGAGGGCAATAAGACCATTGCCTGAAAAGTAACAACAAAAAATACGCACTTTGGTCTGAGAGCCACAGATTGTCAATGCTGTAATGAATCAGGGTTTAGGTTATATTTCTGGCATAGGCACAGTTATGATGTTGAGTTGAAGGAGTTTAAAGAAAACCTATTGGTTACCACCAAACTCCAAGCTACAAATGTCCCCTCAAAACTTTCTTGATACAGGGGTTGTTTCTTTCTCTGAGATTCATTTACTTCTGTTGATAATATGGTGCACAATGGATAATCAAACATACAGTGAATATTTAAATTTTAAAAACTGTTACAGTGAAACATACATTGCCATTTATCATCTTCAGATTAGTCCCCCTTACTTTGAACACACTGATCCCATTGTTCTTGCCACTTTCTGGGGGCGGTTCTGTAAGTCCTCTTTCATGTCTTTATGCAGTGTGATTGAAAGAAATATGGTGAGTGCTGTTGCTGAGTGACTTCTCATGGAAGTGGAAGCTTTGTGAAAACACTGCAGTGAGTCTTCCGTCATCTTATTCACTGGCTCTGTCACTGTGTGACTTTTGGCTCTTCCTCAAAGGCCAAATTACCACAAAAGGTAAACATTTTGAATCAGTTGGGGACATCAAAGAAGCCAGCACAGTGCAATTGCTTACATAAGAAGTCTTTCCAGAGATGCTTTAAAAATGGCAAGAATGATGTGATATGTGTTTGAAACCAGTGAGGATATTTTGGAGGGAAATAATGAAGATATGTCATTTATACACACAGTATTTTTTTTTTAATCACATTCCGTATGGTGACACTGGCCAAACACTTTTGCTGAGAACTCTCAAGTTTAACATTGTTATTCTTACTCAGAGTTGTTACGGGTAATCATCACTGTGTCTTATTTTGATTATTTTTAAGAATATGTTTTAGAATACAAATATATATATATATATATATATATATATATATATATATAGTATATAATACAATTCATGTTTGCCTAACATACACATGGTTTCCAATAATTAAAGCAAAGGAAAATTAATAAAAAACAGATTATCATTTTAGGAACATTGCATAGGTTTTTTTAAAAAAGCATGATACCGAAAAGGGTCATAGTCTAATTTGGAGACTACTCTTATTGCTTTTATGAACACAACCCTTACGATGTAGCATACTCATTCACATATACATTCATCAAAATTTGATGAAGAACACAAGTGACAGGGACTGCACTGGACACCTGGTTTTAGAAATAGCAATTTATGTTCTCTTTGTACAAAGTTCACATTCTACTTGAGTACCAAGATGGTCTCCACGTGCCTCTCAGTTTGACCAAAATTCAGACAGGTTGTTTTCGTGAATATACACAGGCTCCTGACCCCTTCACCTTTCTTGGAATATGCACTTTAGAAAGTTTACAATTGTATAATACTTTATTTCTCTGGGTAGAGGTAAATTTTCCAGAACTCTCCCCAAGAAACATATTTAATTAACAAGAAACATATCTCCTAGCACCCAATCTCCATTTCCTGTCTCCTTCCCTTCTCAGCCTCTACTTGTATTCTCTACTTCTATGAGGTCAACCTTTTAATCTTCCACATATGAAAGAAGGAATATGTATTAATATTCTATATAAAAGTCAGTAAGGTGTCTGAGTTACCAGCAGTTTACTACATATACCAAAATAGCTAAAGGAGAGTTTTTAATGTTCCCACTACAAAAAAATTGTTTGAGGTGATGGATATGATAAACATCCTTATTCAATCATTACACATTATCTGCATGTATTGAAATATCACACTGTACTCCATAAATACATGTCAGTATTTCTGTCACTTCAAAAAATAAAATGAAATAAATCACTGTGCAAAAATGCAACTTAAGAAACACCAATTACTAAATACAGATGATCAATCACACTGACCTACTTTCCCTATTTCCACTGTTTCTCCTGCTCTTAAAAACTCTCACTCCTTTTATTGCAGTGGAGTTTGTTCAATTCTGCCCCCATCTCAATATTCTTGAAACAAGTCTTTGACTTTTTGACATTCCTGGTGCAATTTTTCTTTGACAGTTGTATAGATAAAAAAACCAGTTAAGAAACAGAATCTGAAACAGAAAATACTCAGAAGCAAAGAAAGCACAGTAAAAAAGGAAGCTGGGGAGAACTACTAGAGCAGATTGCTGAAGGCTGGACTCTGAGGAGCAGACGTGTGACTGGAGCCTTGAAGGATGTGAAAGGATCTATCAAGAGCTGAAGAGAAAAAGGGGCAGACAGGGAAAAGGAAGCATAAAGACACAAGTCAGGAAAAATGTTGAGAGACTCAGTAATATAAGAAGGCAACTGATAGATACTGTCCTCATGCAGACCATAAATAAATGTCCTAGGTAGCCATGATACAGAAGAGATAGAGTATACATAGGTTCAAGGCATGTTTTGGATGTAGCTTGAGAAATTGCAGTGATTGTATTCTTTGTTGAGCGGGGAAAGATTGGGAAAAGAATCAGTGGAAACTTTCAGAGTTGGTATTGGACATAATAGTATTCAGATGCTTGTGATATAGTCAGGAAATAATTTCATGGGAAATTAAGTACTACCCGGTTAGAACTTGCTGGAAAAGTAAGTCTAGGACTGGTAAGCATATTGATAGTAATCAAGGTATCAAAATGTGAGATTTTCTTTAAGAGGAGATGTGGACAGAAAGAAGCCCAATCATGTGGATTTCACAACTTGGAGGTCAAGGAAGGAGAAGACAGAAAGATGAGTAGATGAAGTGTGTACAGGACAAATGGCTGAAAACCATGTATCTTTGAGAGTACGAGTTGGCGAATTATTAGATATGACGTTAGACCTTCTGTTTAATAGAATCACAAAAGGAACAGCCTGAGCAAAGCTTTTAGCAACTAGTCATTCAATGAATGATTTTTAAAAATTGTTTTCACACAGTTAAGATTTAAACAGATTTATCTCACTTCAAAGTTTGTGATTTTTCCTATTGCATCATATTTCTCTAGAC